TCCTTAGTATAATTATCGTAGAATATACCCCAACAATCTTTTCTAACTACTAAGGCCCCTACATTATGCATTTAGGGTGAAGGGTCTTGACCTGAGGGAGTAGGCTACAGGGTCTGGTCTAAACTAGATGGACTTTAGTGTTCAGCCTCGGGTCAGGTTAAGGCACCGGTGTTGTTCCAATGTAATTTTAAAGCAGTTCGTCAAGACGTCGCTATGGGTGTCAGCCCACATTTCAGACACGGCTGAGATGGGTTGAAAATTGCAGCGTGAGTTCTAAGATTTAGAGAATAATTAGCAATGGTATTCCTTCCTGTTCCTATAACCCTAAACCCCAAACCCTAAACCCTAAACCATACAAAATGCAATATCCCTGAAGAGCCCTAGTCTGCTCCCCTGTGCAGGCGTTGGCGCTGACAGCTGTGTGGCTTGCTTGCAGATTGACCCGAAAGCCGCTGGGAGCAGAGTAGGTAACCGTTGGCCATGTTGCGGTACTACTTTGGTTTAGGGTTTAGGGTTTAGGGTTTGGGGGTTCATGGGTAGTTATAAGTGGGGTTATAACTAGGGTAACTATACTTATACCCCAAATTTTAGAGGACTTAGGGGACTCATATGTAAGCCTATTTATAACTACCCATGAACCTCCAAGTACACTCGATTCCCGTATTACTCCAAAGGTTAACATTCCGTAAGATACTGGATAAGGAAGAGCATATGACCGCCCGCTCTTTACTTAGAGGACCCTTTAATAGCATTCCTATTGTTATGCCTTTTACCCCAAGCCCTGGATACTGCGCTTGTTTCAGGAGTTGGGTCTCACTAAGGCGGGGTCCTAAACCCTATACCCTAAACCCGAAACCCTCAACCACCCTAAACCCTGAACCCTCAACCCTGAACCCTCAACCCTGAACCCTCAACCCTGAACCCTCAACCCTGAACCCTAAACCCTATACCCTCAACCCTATACCCTGAACCCTAAACCCTAAACCGTAAACCCTCAACCCTAAAGCGAGTCGCCCAGGCGGCCCTGGGAAGAAGTCTGCGGAGATGCCACGTTGCTGGAGATCCTTGGTGCCTCAAAGTGTTCCTTAGCTAGGTAGTATAATTGGGGGTACCCCTTAAAGGGTACCCCCTTCCGAACCCTACTTTTGGCTCTCTTAAAAGGGACCTTATTGAGCCCCAAACTTCCCCTAATCCTAGCTCCCATATTAGCTGGGTCCTCGGGTTTGGGGTTTATAGGGTTGAAAGCTTAGGCTCATGGGGAATACTTGCCTGAACCATAATAGTACTTCCTCCTATAAAAAACCCTACATAGTACTATATAGGCACTTCGGACCCTTTGGGTGTGCTAAGCTCTCCCTTATAGCCTGTAGGGTTTTAGAACGGAGCGGGTTCGTTTTCTGGCTTCTTTAAGGGGTTACAATTCTTACAATATCCATCTCGCCTCAATTTGGAAGTCGCGAGGTGCATCGCAAAGACTTGTGCCTTACGGCACGTGTCTTTGGCCTCAAGTACTTAGTACCCATATCAGTCGAGAGAGCCCTCTCCGCCGAAAGTGTATACTCTTCAGGCACATGGATCCTTGACCGACAGGGTTCTAGGCACCAGGAGCTCAGGCTTATCCAACCGCATACCGAGATGCAAAGTGCGACGAAAGCCCAAATCTGTTCCAAGGAGATGGCCAGCACCCTCCTTGTACCCTCGAAAACAGGTATAATTAATATGAAACCCTAAGGCGTAGATGGAGCTTCTGAAACCATCGGGAATGGTAAGCTCGTGCACACCTTCCCAGTTGATTCGGTGTATTACAGGGGCCGTAAATAATTAGAATAGGGTTTGGGGATATATCATACGCTAAATATAAGAAGGAACCACCAAAACCCTATACTAATGATTAAGGCCCTAAATTATGGAGGTTTTAGGGTTGAGGGTTCAGGTTTCGTGGTGAGCCCGGTTCAACTCTAGGCCCTTTCAACGTTCTCAGACCTTTATACGTTTCTTCCCCACCCTCGGTGTGGGGTTTTTAGATTTTAAAGTCAGCTATTACTCCTCGCGACTCCCTGGAGTGCCCAACCCCACAGACTACCGTGAGACTCCCTGGAGTGCCCAACCTCAGAGACTACCGTGAGGGTGGGGATGTTCGAAGTAAAATATTTTTAAACGCTGGCGTGATGGTTGATTTCTCTTCCATACTCATATTGTCCGAACCATGAAGCAGGTTAGTTCCATAGAAGCCGGCTCCTAAGAAAAAGGCACTGCCCATAGTTTAGGGTTTTAACCCTAAGCCTTGAACCCTACACCTTCGACCCTAAACTCCTGGCCAAAAAGCCTTAAGCCCTTGAAGCCTTCTGCCCGCCCTAGAGCCAAAATCCCAAAACTCTTCTACCCCTACGCCCTAAACTTCACGCCCTAAGCCCTTAAACCCAAACCCCTTAGCCCCTACGTAACCCTAAACCCTAAACCCTAAACCCTAAACCCTAAACCCTAAACCCTAAACCCTAAACCCAACCCCTAAACTCTTTACCCCCTGTCGCTGGCGGCCCAGGGGGGCCATGGGGATCGCCTCGGAAGTCCAAAAGCCTTCGGTGGCGAGCCGCGGCGTTTTGCTTTGAGTTTAGGGCTTAGGTTTAGGGTTTAAGGTTTAGGGTTTGAGGTGTAGGGTTTAGGGTTTAGGGTGTCTACTTTACCGTGTGCCACGGCACCGTGGGGTTTAGGGGTTTGAGATTGGAGTGTAGGGTTTCTGGGGGGTAGGGCTCAGGGTTTAGAGGGTTTCTTGCTTCGCAAGTACTGCCATACATAAAGGCATACATGCATGTGTACATACAATACGTGCATACATACATGCAAACATACATCATACATAACTACTCACATACATACCTAAATACATACATGCATGCATGCATGCATGCATGCATGCATGCATGCATACATACATACATACATACATACATACATACATACGTGCATACTTACCCTACATACATACAGACAGATGTAGGGAAGTGTATATGTGTCTAACGACTCACGGGCTTACAATCGTGTATCACCCTGTGGCCATTCTTGGTCTCGCGATGCAAAGTAGATAGATAGATAGATAGATAGATAGATAGATAGACAGATAGATAGACAGATAGATAGACAGATAGATAGACAGATAGACAGATAGATAGACAGATAGATTGATTGATAGATTCAATCTAGATAGATAGATAGATAGATAGATACATAGATAGATAGATGTATATGTACACACCATAAGACATCTCCCAAAGCTCCTTCCATCAGCATGTTCAAGAGCAGGGCTCCTTAGGGTCTGGGGCTTATAACCTTTCACCCTTCAACCCTAAGGTTTAGAATTTAGGGTTTCCCAAAGCCAAGGATTGACCTCGTGCTCCGAGTTGGCAGCGCTTCAATTTCTGATCGGCTGCGGATCTTAGCTGGCGTGCCTGGGATGGCACGCTGCCGCAGGACCGGAGCCGGCCTCACATCCTTGGAGGCTACGTCGGCTGGTTTTGGGTTTCAGGGTTTTAGGGTTTAGGGTTTAGGGGTTTAGGGTTTAGGGGAGACTCCATAAACGGAAATGGTAGGGCACCATGAGACCTTAATTGGAAAATCTGGGGTTTCAGAAAGTGACCGTGGTTTGAGTGAAGCATTGCGCCGCTTGAAACAGAGTGTTGAGGTGATGATTTTCGGGCTCTGGCTGTATACTCAATCTCAGGGTACTGGCTAAAGGATCTTCAGACGTGGCAGCTAGGCTTGTGAACAGAGCAGCTGCAGTTACCACAAATATACGTAACTGCTTATGATATGTGTAACACCAACTTCATCAGCTCAGGTACCTATACACTTGTGGTCCCATGATCTTCCAGGTATGCCGTCAGGAGCCATCCTCCCAATCGCACGATGTAAGAAGGTGGGAGTAACCCACTTTCGCCAACATCCACGACTCCGATTGTATGGGAGATTTTCTTTTACAACGAAAACAAGTCTTCGTAGTTTTGCACAGCGGTTTCGCGATGTCAAACTCTTCGTACCAACCAGAGCTCTCTAACGGCAAAACGTACCAGAAGCTGGGCTGGGTTCTTGAGCTCTAAACCCTCCACGCCTCCTAAAGCCCGAATCTGCTCAGCTCGGTTTCTGCGCCTCTTGCCTGTAGCCTTAATCTGTAGCGCTGACGCCTGCAGACTCCACGTCGAGCCCTCATCCTTATGACCTAATCCTAAACGCTACAGATCCCATACCCTAAACCCTAAACCCTAAACCCTAAACCCTAAACCATATGCCCTGAAAGGAAACCCGAAAAGAGTCCAGCCCTAAACCCTCAAGCCTAGGGCAATGCCTGAGGCCCTGAGCCCGGAAACTCGAAGTCTGCAAACCCGAAGCCTTACCCTAGGCTTCCAGGGACCTCATTATTGGGTCCTTAAGGGGTCCAGGGCCCTAACTATAAGGTCCTTGGAAGCTCAGGGTTACCTGAACCGCACTTCATTTCGTAATAGTCAATGTGCCTATGCAGATACTTGCACCTTCTTGCGCTAAGGGTTTAAGTTCAGGGCATAGGGGTGTTGTGGTTTAGGGATCTAGGGTTCTGCAGATTAGTATGTTTTCAGGTACTTTAAACAGGAAGTTTAGGGTTTGGGGAAGTGCCCGAAGGTGCAAACTTGGCTTCAGTCAAAGGCCATCACCTGCGAAAGGTGGCCGAGCTCAGTTCGTCGTGTCTCCGTACGGGTGTTTCTGCAGGGTTTCTATAGTCTATAGGGGTACTATAAGGGTAGTTCTCTGAGTTCGGGTCCCTTTTCAGGTCCATAAATGAGTGCAGCACCCTTGTTTTGTCCAAAAGGGACCCATCTAGTTGTTTTGGTCGTAAGGGTTCAGGGTTGAGTGTATCTGAACAGGATGTACTTCGGCCTTACACTACAGATATAGGAGCCCCTTGGTAGGAACCCCTTTAAAGCCCAAGCTTATACTATATAGCTGCATGGACCCTCACTCTAATTAGGGTAACATACGTTCTGGTTTAAGGGTCCGGGTGACTCTTGAGAATAGTATATCTTGTTGCATGATCCTAACCTCACCAAAACGCGCACCTAGCCATTTGTTGAAGGTTTTGAACAGCTAGCAGAATAAGGTTCTACAAAAAATGGTCAACCCAACCGCTACAACCCTTATGCCCAAACACCGGTTGGTGCAAAGTAGACCCTGGACCGTTTAGGCATGGATGAAGGTCGGACAACCGTTTGGCGTTGATGGGCTAGAGCCCATCTTGGCCTGGCCCCTATTTAGATGTAGGTTGGGAATGCAAATACAGATGCAGCTTGTGGCCCTTACCCGACAGTACTAGGGTGAATGCTTGTATGGTTTGATGGTTTCTCTGGCCCACACCGCTGGAGGTACGGATTTCGATGTTGGTGTGGCTTTGGGGGGATCTCATGTGTCCGCCATTGTACAGCAATTGTCGAAAAGTTGGAAACATACGTCCTCTCCTGCCTCAGGCACGAAGAATAAATGTGAAGACTAATCATCCTTGCGTCGTTGTAGAATCTCTCCACATCCAGAGGAACATCCACACAAGCAGAGGTTAGATGCCACAATCCTGGGAAAGCATGCGAATTGAGAACAACGGAAATCAATGCAACAGGCACGGGGAGTCCAAGGGCATGACAAATGAAAGGGTTTAGGGTTTAGGGTTTAGGGTTTAGGGTTTATGGATGCCCAAGCTGCGGTGACAAGCAGAGAAGAGCACATGAATTGTCGTCGCGCTGACCATGATGAGCCGACCTTGCAGACAGCTCAACATCAGCCGGGGTTAGGGAGCATTCTTGCTGAGTCATACTACCGAGTGTTCGCATAGAGCAGAGGAAGACATGCCCGGTTTGTTTTGCTATGGCTTCAGTGTCTGATGTGCTGAAGACAATTGTTGGATTAAGTATGACAACGCAAATCTGGGGAGCTCCAGGGTGGAAGCCCTGAACCCCCAACCCAAAACCCAGCAGCCCCCCTGTCATTATCCCCGAACCGGTCCTTCAGCTGAGGCCTAGCTCCTGTGTCAGAGCTGCTCATGCTTGGAGGATCAAGGGACGTAGCAAGTGAGTCTTTGAGCGCTGCTTCAATGTGCGGAAAGATGCCGAGTGTCAGGACTGCGTCGCAGGCTTCCTAGAGACTCCGAACTACCGTAAGGCTCCATGTCAATGTACCGACATTGTATATGGTTAGTAGTACTTTGTAGTTGTAGCAGTCGCCGTCGTCGTCGTAATAGCAGTAGCAGTAGCAGTAGCAGCAGCAGCAGCAGCAGCAGCAGCAGCAGCAGCAGTAGCTTTTTTGACCGGAAAGACTGAAATCGTTGTATAATAGTTTTGTTGACGCACTTCTATAAAGAAAAAT